GTGGCATCAAACTAAGCATCTATAAATATCGAAAATACAGCTTGTTTTAACCAGAATTTACTGTATTTCCTTAYCATATACTAAGCGCTTGTCATTAATTTAAATTATGAAATTTAAAACGAAATATAATATGTTGCGTGCTTATTAATTGCTTCATTATGTGATATTAAATTAGTTAATTTACTTTTGTTGGTATTCTAATTGTGGCGCTTACTCCAGTGACACTACACTGCCCAAAAAATTTCGAMATTTCGGGAAGTTGATATTTTTTAAAAACGGTAAGGTTGCAGCTTATCTATGCTCAACTCATAAATCAAGATAAATGGTAGGTTAATGGTTCGGAAGTTGTATCCAATGTTCGGTTATATTTCATTATTTCGATTCACCTATAGGTATTATCTTTTCCCAATATATATACCCTGCACAGAGTATATTAACTTTGTCACAATTTGGCAATCGGAGTCGACTTAGCCAATTCCGTCTATCTGCCTGCCCATTCACCCGTATGTACGWACTAATCCACCAGCTTTTGAAATATAGAACTGAAATTTTGCACACAACCTTTTCTGCCCAAGAAACTGCTCATTTGTTGGAACCGCCGACATCGGACTACTTTAGCACTACGCTGCCATAAAAACGGCTCTATTTAATAGCGTTCTTGTAGAGGAAACTTTTTAAGTGGCATAACATCTTCACAAAATTTAGCTCAAATCATTGTCCAAGGCAATGATACAATCTTTGAGAAAATTCTTCAGACCGAACTACCATAATATTAAGGCTATATTTCTAGCGAAAAAGGAGCTTATTACGTTTTATGGGTCAGCACAGGGCAAATACTCTTAAGATCCCTACTTCAGAAATTATTAAAGTGGATGTAGCGGAATGTAGAACATGCGCGGAGAATGATTAGACACTTTAAAGCCCAGCCTTTAAGCAGCTGACACGGGATGTCTGCCACTGCTCCCAATGCTCCAACTTTAGAGACATTGAGCAGCTGGTGATAAAAAGCACCGTTTTTTTACCAACTACACTGAGTCATTGGATAAGGCTTAATTGGTTAACACTCGGTGGTACAATAGATCTTGTGAGGGCATAAATGCGACCGTCTGCGGTCTGGTGTCTCTTGGCGTCTCCGAGACTTTTCAACCAACCAAGTCATATACCCAGCTGGCCTACAAACTGACCGATYACACTCAAATTTTTGTGTGGAAAAGGAACATTTTCCTGATTTTTCTCGTAGTTTTTTGAGCTGAAGATTTAATGAATTATTTTGTAGCTGAACAAGACCAACTATCAAATCATTTSAGAATATTACCTTGTAAAAAACTGCATCGGATTGATATATGTTATCCCCACAAAATTAATATGACTGTGTAAACTGACGTTGAGCAGTTACCAACAGCTCCGTCAGGAACGGGAAAGACCTCTTCCAACCGTTCGATACCAAACGAGGTTTCAGACAAGGCGACTCTCTATCATGCGACTTCTTCAATCTACTGCTGGAGCAAATAATTCGAGTTGCAGAGACAAATCGTAAATCTGATTTTGATATCATTGACCTCAATAAACGCTCTAATTGGTCTGATAGTGAACGAAGACAAGACGAAATATTTCATGTCATGAAACAAATAGTCATTGCACTCGCAACTTGGCTCTCAACTTACCGTTGTCAGTCATACATTCGAAATCGTATATAATYTCATCTATATTGGAACCAGTATTAACACCAACAACAATGTCAGTATTGAARTCCAACGCAGAATAACTCTTGCCAACAGGTGTTACTTCGGACTGYGTGGGCAATTGAGAAGAAAAGTCCTCAGTTATACTTTTAACAGTTTTGTAAACGACAAATATTTWTTACTAATTTCTTCAGTTGCTCTTCGTATTTCTTCTACAACATATATTCCWGCAAATCCTTAACGCTTTACTCAAAATCTCCCAAAGCATTTAGAGAATGCTCTTGTACTTAAAGTTCACTTATGGTCATAGGTCCTTAATATACTATGCTTGTTACACAAATTTCACGAGCCTTAACAAAAGCAAACCATTATACCACCCTTAAAGTGTCTTTGTTCAGTGTATAACCAATTAAGCGTGCATWAAACCAATTAGGCACACCGCGTAAATTTCCGCTGATACAATATGCATGCAACATGCGCATATATGTACATGCTAACATATAAACAGCCGTCACCTATATATATAGCCACCGGCTCGCCTGCCACACTTACACAAAGCGTCGATATGTCCAACCAAATCATACATTTCGAGAGTTTCAACACGCTCGCCAACATATTCTACACAAGCATTGGCCTGGACGCATACCAGAAAGCCGGACAGCGCACCAACAACATACGCCGTCAGCTGTTGAGCATATTTTTCATCATCACAATAGCCAACATGAATATAACCTTACTTAGCGAATTGCTATACATATTTATGGCCTTCGCAAATAACAACAACTTCGTTGAGGCAACAATGCTTTCGTCATTTGTGGGTTTCGTCATTGTCGGCGATTTCAAAATTTACAGCATTTGGCGACTACGTGCGCGCATCACCGCTATGATGCAAGCGCTACATGCGCTCTATCCGCAAACGCTAGCCGAGCAAAGGCAATACGAAGTGCAGCGGGTACTAAAGCGTTACCAACGTTTCGCTTATGCGTTTGTTATGCTGCACGAGCTGCTGGTCTGGAGTTATAATCTATTTCCGCTACTCARCTATTTCATCTATGAARTTTGGCTGGCGCTGCGTGTTGTGGGCAAAACGCTGCCCTACAACTGTTGGACACCATTCGATTGGCATGTTAATRATTGGCGCTATTATCTCATGTATCTGACGCAAATCGCTGCCGGGCAAGCGTGTCTCTCCGGACAATTGGCCAATGACTTGCTCTTGAGCGCAGTGTCCGTGCAGTTGATAATGCATTATCGGCAACTAGCACGACGCATAGAGTTGCATGTAGCGGGCGGTGGCGGTGACGGTGACGGCGGCGGCAGTGGAAGCAAATGGCGCRCAGCGGCGACTAATGTGTCTCGTSAGCATGATTTATGTTTTCTGCGCAGCATTATTGCCTATCATCAGCAGATTCTGAAGTGCGTATATCAYATTATTTAGAATTTTGAATTAGTTATTGTTGCAGTTACTTCTATACGCCGAGCAGGTTATCGCAGGCTTTGAATGATGTCTTCGGTAATTCGCTCTTTATCAGCTTTGCGTCGACTGCGCTGATTATCTGCTTTGTGCTCTTTCAAATCACCATTGGTGCTAATATCGATGCGATCGTTATGTTGGCGTTCTTTCTCTTCTGCTCGTTGGTGCAAATCTTTCTTATTTGCTTCTATGCGCAGCAAATTTTGGAAGCGGTAAACTTTTTGCTCTWTTATTATTATATTCATCCTGTATATTTGTATATATTTGCCTTTCTCTCTTTCTTGTTTACACACATACATCACGTAATATTTAAGTCTCTTCATTTACTCTCCACATTCCTGTTTCTTATTTAGAGTGAATACATCAGCTTTGCAGTTTACAATCACAATTGGTTCGATTCGGACTTGCGTTATCGGAAAATGTTGGTATATATAATGGCACGCGCACAGAAGCCGTCGAAATTGCAAGCAACTTCTTTAGTGACAGTTTCTATGCCCACCATGACCAATGTGAGTTACAGTAAATTAATTTTTAAATGATATAAAATTTTTATATGATACAAAAAAGTCGTGCGGTATTTTTATTGAATTTTTTTTTTTCAATTTTCAATTGTTCATAAAATTTTTTTTTGATGACTCATGCCCAGCACTTGACCGATACGGCGGCTGCTACTATGCCGGTCTCTTTCGACCAATTCAGCGATTATATCGCAATTTTCGACGACAGGCCTTCCGGTGCGTGGCGCATCTTCGACCACCTCTACACCAGAATGAAAACGTTAAAACCAACGTTGTGCGGTGGATATGGAAACTGTATCGGGTCCATAAACTGCACAATTTTTATTGGCGGCTTGAGATGCATTTTTGCCTTTATCGTAGTAGTACTGTAAACTATGCCGTATTTTCTCTTTATTTTGCTCCCTGTTTGCGACGCTATAACTCACGAACGACTTAAAAGAANACGCGCACAGAAGCCGTCGAAATTGCAAGCAACTTCTTTAGTGACAGTTTCTATGCCCACCATGACCAATGTGAGTTACAGTAAATTAATTTTTATATGATATAAAATTTTTATATAATACAAAAAAGTCTTGCGGTTTTTTTATTGATTTTTTTTTTCAATTTTCAATTTTTCATAAAATTTTTTTTTGATGACTCATGCCCAGCACTTGACCGATACTACGGCTGCTACTATGCCGGTCTCTTTCGACCAATTCAGCGATTTTATTGCAATTTTCAACGATAGGCCTTCCGAAGCGTGGCGCATCTTCGACCACCTCCACACCAGAACGAAAACGTTGAAACCATCGTTGTGCGGTGGAAATGGAAACTGTATCGGGCCCATAAACTGCACAAATTTTATTGGGATGAGATGCATTTTTGCCTTTATCGTAGTAGTACTGTAAAATATGCCGTATTTTCTCTTTATTTTGCACCATGTTTGCGACGCTATAACTCAAGAACGACTTAAAAGTACTTAATCAATCGAACACGTGTTAGCGCGTGAAATGAGCTTTCCAAAAAGGTATAGCATGACCCGATGTGACGAATAAAACTAGAACTACGCGCTCTCAGCGTCAACTAGCTAAAATACCGCAAGACTTTTTTGACAACCAATATATCTATATCTAAAGCAAAGAGTGTAACTGCATACTCAGCGCAAGTGGYTTCGCTTTAACCAAATGAAGCATCTTGGTTCTTCCAATAGATGATACCTCGGTCTTTCTCCGTTATTATCTCTATAAACATGTTCGTCATTCAATAAATCGTTTGGGGAATCTTTCTCATGCACCTCAAGACCTTGTTTTGCAGGTGAAGGAGTTTAAAATGCCTTCCGCAACATTCAATGCTGCCGGTATGTTCTGCCGGTGTGTGCCACCTGCCGATCAATAAAACCAAAAAAAAAATACTTTTACATTCTGTGGCGGTACTTTTTGAAGTATCCGTAACCCGACAGCAGCTGTTTTGTGTAAAAGTCGCCTTACAAAGTTTACGAATTTTCTATAASACAAGGATCACTTATAAATCTAGCTGTAACTTTCATTCTTCTATCTACGTTGCCTTGCAGATTTCGTATATTTCTTTACTTGTTCAATGGCTCGAAAATGGAGTTGGTGCTGGAGTATACTCTCTAAAGTTAAGCATAAGGCAATCTTTCAAGTATATTACAAGCTGAGCTCGTGCTGTTGCGAAAGCCGCAKACACGTAGACAGCCAAGCAGCAATGAAGGCAGTAACCTCGTATCGYATRTCRTCCAGAAGTGTCTTGMGAAGCAGGGCCGCAGTGGAAAGTAAGCAACTTCACTTCTACTGGGTGCCAGGTCACGAGGAGATTGCTAAGAATGATGTGCATCCAACATCCGAAAACGTGATCAGCATAAAGATAATCAAAACGCGATGCAACGAGCTACCTAGRTGCAATGAGGATGAGGCTGACAGATCGRGAAGACTGCAGGAAATGTCTTGAGCAGGGCAACAGGAAAACAATGGACCATCTCTTATGCACTTGCACCGCAGTGGMRAGACTACACTGTAAGCTTCTTGGGTCCTCACAGTAGGATACACCAACGGAATCTTATCCTAACCTTGTTTGTTTAATCCCTCTTGTTATTTTTATAAGTGCTCTTTAGCTCCCAGAGATTTTTCCCTTCTTAAGCCAGTAAATATTGCCGCTTAAAACTATAATAGCAATACCTGACAATGTTCTATAAGCTGATGCGACTCTGAAAGCTGCGGTTCAGTGCAGTTTGGTCAATACCTTACGCCGGTTTCCCAGTTTTATCACATCTGCCCAAATCTCAGCTCCATACAATAGGAAGCTGATAGTCGTCGAAATTAGGAGTTTTCTATTTTCTTCACTTTTGTTGACCATTAKTCTGCTAAATTAGGCAGTCGTTTGCAACCGACTACGGAACCCCAAGAGATAGCACTTACATTTTTCCACCATATTCAGAGTGATCGATTGGTAGTATCCTTATCAAATCCCAAAAATTTCATAAACACAAGAAGACATGTTAACGTCGGCTATACCATCGCTATAATACCCTTCATGAGTGCATTTTTATAGCATAAAAGCATATAAAAAAAKCAATCTCTTTATTTTAATTTTGATCGGTCAATATGTATGACGGCTATTGTAGACCAGTCTATATACTACTATTCGGTGTTATTGTTGTAGTATTTCGCTGGAGTATACTCCAAGCCGAATATCGTGAAGATATCTCGTCAATTACAAAAGTTCTCCGCACAAGCAGTTGATTTTGATCGATCAGGTTCTTTGACTTCTGCATATGTCCTAAAGTGAAAGCTCACCGCCAGAGAGTAACTGATACTGCTGGTTAACGCTCAGAACTTTTTTGTAGTCCGACAATAAAATTTGTTCATTTTTRTATGATTCCTGTTCCAAAGCAAAGGAATTATTCGATCTGAAAAGCTTGTCTGGATATTTCGTGCTTGCCAACAA